GAGGATAAGGTAGCCGAGCGTATGGAAGACGCATTGGTTCATGCATGGGGCACAATTCGTGATTCTATCGCATATAACTGTGTGGCATCAATGCCAGAGCGACTTCAAGCCGTATATAGCGCAAGAGGGTGGTACACGCGATATTGATTAGTTCTGGATAAGCCCAACGAGCTAGATGATCTTCAGAGTTTCAGGATCATTCCGGTACAATTTGTATGGGTATTTCTATTGTTGTTGTACCCAGCGCGCTCAATCGAAACGAAGGGGGTGGGCGCGCGGAAAGCTGCCAAGGAGCTGGCTTTGCGAAACTTTTGTTCACCCACTGTACCAACCGTGCGTGCTTTGCCCGATCTGAAATCGAACCACTGTACAGCACTTCCCCTCTTGATTGATAGCGAATTGAACGTGCCTCAGGGTTGTTACAACTCAACACACTGGCGAGCGGAAGGGCAGCAGAAATCTCGGTTCAATTATCCGATGCGTGACAGATCTGACCCCAGAGTGCGGCAGTCGTCTCAGCGGTGTTGAATCTGTTGCAGAGGGATGGGGAATGACGCAGCATGAAGTAACATACTATAGGATATCTGCGATATCAAAGAACATCACCAAGCGAGACGAAAGAGGGGTTTGCCTCGTTGAGCAGCAGATCCGTACAAGAGTAATGGGCTTACGATCTGTTTCCTGGCCGGATCTCCCACTATCTGTATTTTACCAAGTGCTTCCACCTCTGAGGGAAGTGTGACTGAGATCCGGCATTTCTTCACACTTCGTGTGTACACTCCAACACCCACACTTTGTTAATCATCAGTCTAGCAGTCTCGATCGCTGATCAAGTCCAAGAGAGGCCCAAGAAATCGTATGCCGTGACCCGTGGAAGTTACACTCGACCTGCGGATATGATGAGGAAGACACAACTATCTTTCATGCTTGTCGGCTCGATCCTGGCTACCATAGCATTGATCAAAAACTCACACTTTCTCTGGCAGCGAGACGTGAAGATGCCAACCCGCTTGCTGGCTCTACGATAGTGTCCGAGTTCGGGACTTTGTTCAAAGACGAGTCTGGAATATCTTTTCCCTGCTATGTTCGCATACTGTCAATATGTTACAGACCGAGACTACTTGTGCAATTCCCTTATGATCTTTGAATCACTCAGTCTGTCTGGAAGTCAGGCGGACTTCCTGCTGATGTATCCTCAGCACTGCAACTTGGATTCGAGCTCTATAGAAGGACATTGGTTGCGGAAAGCAAGAGAAGAGTATGGTGTGAAGCTAGCTCCCATCCAGGTCCAACATTTCGAGGGAGAACACACCTGGGCGGACAGTTTCACCAAGCTTCTCGCATTCAATCGAACGCAATATGCGAGAGTCATAAGTCTCGACTCGCACGCTAACGTTCTTGGAGTATGTTCAGAGGTACAAGAGATGTTCTTCCACTCAGGCTGACACCTCCTAGCATATGGATGAGCTATTTCTCTTACCTCGTGCCTCTATCGCCATGCCCCGTGCATACTGGCTGGAAGAAGGTCTCTCATCTCAGATTGCAGTGATAGAGCCCTCTAAATACCAGTTTGAGCGTATTCTCCAAGCTTTCAGACGTCGACAGGAGTCTGACTTCGACATGGAGACATCCAACGATCTCTATGCCCGAGACTGCGTCATCATTCCTCATAGAATGTACGACCTTCTTACCGGCGAATTTCGCAAGAAGGATCACCATAGAGGTATCTAGAGTCGACGACGGAAAAATAGGATGCAAAAAAGATCTTGGCAGAGGCTAAGTATGTACACTTTTCTGACTGGCCATATCCTAAACCATGGGTCCCGAATTCGGAAGTGAAGAGATTGGAACTACAACCGGACTGTGACGGCGCTGAGACGGGAGAACGAGACTGCTCTGACCGCCGCATCTGGAACAAAATCTACCGGGAATATCGCGAAAGGCGTCAAGTAAGCACATACTTTGCCATGTTTGGTAGCAGCTGATCATCTGTAAGAGAATATGTCAGGTAGAAACAACATCTTTGTGAAGTGTAACAAGGGCCTGCGAGCCTGATCATGCCTTGATCCAGATCAGATGAAGACTTGATTCGGCTGTTTGCATCTCGATAATACTTGGTTGAGTCCGTGGAGAGCGCAAGGTAGAGTGAACCATAGAAATCTTCGATCTTGAACCCTGGTTATCGATCATGGTCTAACTCGAATTTATACTGGAGATCGTCTGGGCAGGATCGATGGGCAGTCAATGTAGATGCCCAGAGAAAGGCGTAAGCGATATTGTGTCCACTAATAATACCATCCAACATCAGGCTCAGGCTTGGACCCGGTATGTGTACAAAGCTCTTCACATACATCTTTTCGTTGGCCACTCGAAAGCTGCCTTGACCGTCGTGCTAATCAGATGTTCATCGAAACTCCATCTGACTATGGTGTCGATCGTTGTTCCAGTGTCACGTTTCTACGGCACACCGCGCCTTCTGTGAAGCGACATAAACTTTGGCACAGTGCTGGATCGAGTCGAGTTGACTGTACAGGGAAAGCAAGAACTACGAAGTGAGAGAGTGAGACAGAAACGCTTCTGGCCAATTGTTGAATCTAGAGGTGTAGCATGGGTCAAGGAAATGATGACATCCTGGTTCTTCTATCTTAATCCAGACATGTAAGCCCGTCCGATCTATTCTGTGCTCTCGTTACATAAATTTCCAGAGATTAAGACATTCGCAGTGACCCTAGCAGCGTCTTGGTTACCACAAACTCTAAGCTCTTTCCAGAACAGGTCCAGAGTCGCCATATTTTCCTCATGGTTGTCGTCGAACAAAAAAATCGGGTTCATCGAGGATAACGTAGACCCCGACAGGTCTTCAGCCTCAAACCACAGCTTGTATCGGTGTATGCATCTCTCCGGTACATGTTTGTGGAAACCGAGCTCTATAGCCACAACTAGCTCGGGCAAGTCTTGCAATACCGTCCTATTTTGCTTTCTGACCTCGATCTTGAAGATCACTTCATCTGTTTTTGGAAAACTCTGGCCATCAACTGAGGCCGATCGACTGATATGTTGAGCGGGAACGACGTTTGCTGCTGCTGGAGTCGAATTGCCTCTCGTAGTTGATTCGAGTTGGTCCGCGTTGTCATGGTTTTTCTTCGATGTGTTCTGCGATATCCTATCTTCCTCCTGTGCCGTGATATCGATGGTTGGTCTAGCTGTTTTTCCGTCTGAGCGAACTTCGTCTCTAGATTGAGCGCTCGGGTCCATGATACTTTGTATTTGGACGTGGAGAGGTGGGGTTCGACTAGGGTCGGTGGCTAGCAGTCTTGTCGTCAAAAACGACATCAAAGTGCTTGGTGGCCACCGATCATATCTGACGCGACTGTCTTCTGATTGGCGTGATAACGGCTGCGGGAGTTTTTCCACGTAGAGGTTGATTGGAAAAGAGCTATTATCCGTTCAAGAGATATACAAAGTCTGGATCACTGTTTGTTCAGACGAAAGAGGTGTCAGATGCGGCTACATTAAACAAGCGTCAGATAGTAGAAAACGAAGAAGTCTCGCACCAGATATATAGGGGGAACATCCAGAATACTCCGGAGAAGGGCTTGACATTGGATTTTCGGCCCGGGGTCATATTGTAGTTGCGCCCTTCACAGTCCAATCACGCGTGGAATGTCATATCCAAGTGTGTCAGTGGGAAACAATGATCAAGCTAGCAATGCGCGGAGACCATGCAACAGATGATCCAGGACTTGTGTATTGTCTCGATGAAATTATGACCAAGGTCTTGGGACATCCTGATACCAACCATTTAAGATCTTGACGAGGATCCATTACCCAGCCGCAGGCGACTCTAAGCAGTTTGTGCGATTAGACTTGCCTTTCTCAAGTCTTGTGTTGATTAAATTATCGTCGACCACATTGACCCCGTTTGGTTCGCCAGAACCGGGGGACGCCAATAAACGGCTCGCAAAGCCCAAAAGCTGGCACAACTATCAGCGTCTCATAAATACCTACATTGGAAGGTAGTGTGCACTATTCTATCAGAGATTGATGTGACATAGCCAGCCATTGGTACGTAGTACAATATATGGTTCACAAGTTTCTTCTGTTTGGAGGATGCATCATGGATCACTTTAATAATGATGTGTCAGTCCAAGCTCGCAAATTATCCCATGCACTCTTCGCTCTCGCTACGCGAGTCTCTAGAAGCTCGTTGCCCTCGCGATGAAGCTAGTTGCATTCACATCGTCATATCTCTCAACATCTTCCCAAGACCAGCGCTGAGTGTGCACATTTTCCTCACGATCGTTGTCAAAGCAGCATGTTGTATCCTTGAAGGAGGAAGCAGACCGCAAATCGCCTTGGAATTTGCTCATAATCATGCGGTGTTGCATAATTACAGTTAGCGTATACACAAGTAGATCGGTACCCGTCGGGGAAGGAGACAAGTAAGATGGGCTCCTTGACAACATCATCAGGCTACGTCAAACGCTTGCGGTTGATGTGCCAAGAATGGATATCGATGTCCATTCTTGGCAGCGCTCGCAGTCCTCCAGCATTAAGGGGTCCCCCAGCATGCGTTTCACGTCGTGTCTCGACTCTCGACGCCCATTACATCGACTTATTATGGTCTGCCTCTGTACACGCTTGAGTAAAAGAGACTACGGCTCATTGACAGACGACGAGGCATGTACAGGGCGTAAGGAGACTGCTGTTTCTACTTTGACACAACCACAGATATACCTTCTGGATGAGGCGGCCCGCTCCACAGAGCCCAGGCGGCTCCAGCTGCGACAGAGTCGACAATCCGTTAGAGCAAAGCGGGTTCAAGTTATGGCCAACCAGGCACCCTCTGCAAAAAGACCTAGAACATCTTCTATCATTGTATCGGCAGTCGGTTCGGTACCTCGAGGCGCAACCAAGACAGGTAAAACAGTCACGCGTCCAGGGCACACCATTGTACGTCATCCGTTAAAAAACCTGGGCATGAATCAAACATCTCGTACCGAGGAAGACATCTGTCAGCAGGAGACATCGCTCGTATCCCCAGTAACATCTATATGTTTGACAGAAGACTTGAACGGGTCACAAGAGTCAGAGAGATCTATGCATAGTGGGCTGTCGCAGAAGACAGTACAAAACATCTCGAGCATGGTGGGGACTATCTCATCACACCAGAGGTCGTGGATCGAGTCCACCTGTATCTTCACCGCTCTCCTTGGCTCGAAGCCGAGCGGCTGGACAGTCGCAAACCACTCCTCCGAAGCAGTTGAATCCACACTTGCGAACACGTTTGTGCAAGTGCAGGTAAGCATACTTCAACACCAAATCTTCAACAAGCTTCTAGCCTATGCTGCCAACAGCTTGTGGGCCGGGAAGCATCTCGGTAGTAGCGAGAACCTGACGAAGTTGAGAAGACATGGAAGTGGAGCATCAGAATTTGTTCGTGCTGCGGGGAATGCCGCAAGTATACTGTTGCTGGTACCTCCATCATGGTGGGAGCATTTGACATCGTTCTTGCTTCAAAGCTGATTCATTAAGGTTGCGTAAATCTACGAAGGACATTCGCACAAAGGTTTCGAAGATGAAACAGTCAACTACCATCTTTCCCTATCTGGAGCAGTTTGAAACACTCGCTCAGACACTGTTAGGCAGGCTGAAAAGAGGTTCGAGGCACTTTCCACCTGATCAATGCGATCGCTGATTTCTCCCAGAAATTGAGACCATGCATTCAGAAAGCTCTCATCTACTTGTTCGAGGACCACCGGTATCAACACAACCATCCTCTGACGCTCGAGAGTCTCATCCGTTTCGAACACCACATGAAATCACAGCCTCTTCTCCGAACGACGTGGCTGTGTCTGGATCGGATTCAATATCTCAGGTACAGCCATCCCAGGCAACAGGCAGCGGGAGCGTGGACCTTGTAAGATTTAGTGACCTGCACCGTACAGTATCGAACCCAACGGTACAAACTCAACCAGTATTCTCGGTAGTGCATCAGGGCCCCAGAACTTTCCTTGACAGGAATGGCATGATGGTCGCTTCGCTCGACCCGACACTAGTGGGATCACCATGTTACGTCGACGACGGCAACCACATAAATCCTTTCATGCTTGTCTAGAGTGCGATAGCATGGTCAGGCTCCGAAGGCTGCAGACGAATCACGATTAGTATGCAGAACCCCGAGCCTGGAAACTGGATTGATTCAGAGCCCGAAATCACAACTCCCTCGCCCGCCTTGATCTCATCGTCCGTCCAGGGGCACCCATTTTCAGAATTCCAATCCTGCAAGGGAACGAAAACCATCGGCTGTGCCATTCCCGTCAAACCCTTCTTGATGAACGACAAGGTCTCTGGTGTCTCAGGAATCTTGATGACCGCCCAGTCGTAAAGAGCTCTGCTCAGGTCACTTGGAGGCTCGAGATCGATACTGAGATATGCCGTAGAGATGTTTCCATCATGCTATGTGGAGTTTAGCAAAGGTCGGGCAGGTCTTTACTCGGAAACTTGTCGTGTATTACGTCGAGCCACTTTTCAACAATCCGCTTAGCTACGTTTCCGTTACTTTTCAGGACCAAAAATGCGAACTTGTAGTTTTCCTAACACCTCTTAGCACATGTTGTTCCATTTTCATTCCATCTGGACGTACACTCTTGTAAAGATCCTCACAGTCAGTCTCACAAAACACGTCCAAAGCATGTTGCACTTCCTCTTCCGTAAGACAGCTGTCTATCCGGTTGGGAGAAGAAGATGTAGTGATCGACGGTACGCTCATGATGTCCGGCGACGAAACAGGATCTGTGGCAGACGAGATTTGGTCCTTTCGTCCATGCGAAGACGACGATGATCTATAAAAACAGCCGCTTCGTGGCAGTTTTTGATTCGCCAGGACGTTTACGGAAGGTTCGGGTAAGGCCGGCGGGTAAAGAGTGGAGCGGGGGGCCTTGTGAATACTTGAATGCGAACTTCACTTGTACTTTCACTTGCACCTCCATCTTTTTTCTCTCCGTCTTTCGGACAGTTTCACGTCTCTCACGAGTCCAGGCAATAATTCCCGATGGCCTCGAGAGTTCTTTCGCCTCACCAGGTCCATAATGCTGTTCCTCTTCTCGAACAGACTGATTCTTTGAGTGACGATCTGCTCTTGAAGATCGGCGCGATCTTGGTCAGGGCTAAAGAACATCGGAACTGGGGCATTGGCCGCAAACATCGCCACCACGAGCTCAAGCCGAAGGAGTTGATGGTCCATGAGACGAATGGACCAAGAGATATTTGTAGACCTGTCGAGTGGAACTCCACCAGCAAGCTTTATCCTCATTCATGGCACTACACGAGCGGTGATCATCTCACGCCATATGAGTATGGCACCCAGCCACAGCCAGACATACCGCTACCGCTTGTCTCCGAGCTGTTGGGAGTTATGAGAACCGAGTCGACTGTGGCTCTGATACCAATCGCGACGTCTTTGGAAGGGGGAGATAAGAAGTGGGTTGAGACTGTGAGCTCCGAAGATCGCAGCATGACTTCAGACCTTGTTCCCCAAAGTCGGTGTGTCCCACAATCTGAAACAGTGGGCTGGATATTCTTTCCTGCCGGTCATGGAGCTGTGAAGGCAGTCGTCGTAAGGGAGTGCAAAAAGAACCCGGTGACAGGGTTTCACAAAGCCGAGTACACCTAACAAGTAGTTAGCTTCCGAATCCCGACTGATCTTCCAATTCAGCGTAGGCATGAATTTTTTCTCAGTCATCAGTGCGTTTCTCGCCTCGTCAAGATTGTCTCTCTTGCTAGCAGCAGAAGTACGTGGAGCCTAGACCACAGACAAGTGAGATATCCTTACTTCATTTGGGGTGAGAGTCCTCGCTTCCACATCTGATCAGGCTGTTCGCATGGATGGATCGATGCAGAACTGACCAGAGTTGTGACTGCATGCTGTGCGTGGTTCACCCATCAATTCCTTTGCGTACATTATGATACCGAGACCACTCGTTACCACCGCACGAATACTCATAGTCCAGGAAGACCGACTTCGCAAATCATCAAAGATGTCTTGAATCCAACACACAAACCTGAGTGAGACTCTTAGTCTATTGCACGAGTATCTTGAATGGCTAGTCCCACCCACTGATCATTCCTTGCTCGTGTGAGCGTTGTCTTCACTGCGGTAATCGTGAACATGACTGTCTGGCGAATGACACGTGCAGATCTGCATGAACCGAGTTACTGGCAGTGCAGCCCAATCAACCAAGGGATGAGTGTCGACGACATGAACGCCCCAACACACCAAGATCCATGCAGTTTCATGCAAGATTTGTGACATATCACGTGGAAAGAGCTTTATAAAGCTCCCCTGTGCTTTTGCAAACATAGACTCATCGTATGTAAACTGGCACCATGAATCTTTCTGGACTCACTCGTTGCTTATCACTCATCTTCTGCTGTATTCATGATCCAAAGCACGAAGATGCTGTCCCTGCTACAGATTCTCCGCTCACGCTCTCTGCTATTGAGCCCCGAGACAAGGCACTCAATTGCAAGAATCCGCTACCATCTAATGTACATCTCCCATCTTGGACCTCGATATTGCTGATGCTGATGTTTCACAGAGACCAATTTCACGCTTCAGCAATTAGGCATGAAACCGCGTTTGAGCAATCAGCAAATTTCACAGTAATGGGCCTGGAGGGTTTGTCGTTATCCATCAATAACGAGGACATTTGTACGAGTTACATGCAAAAAAACCTTTAGCCATGCAATATTTCTGCTCCAATGAAAACTCTCGTCTTCGTTTCCTCCGCCAATCCAGATTGTCGTTCTTCCGTCCTAATCAGTATGGCTCTTGCAACGAATTTCGGACATGACTCGAACCTCAGATATCTTTATTCCTGCCACTCATGGTTTTACGGTGACTTGACACCTAGTACAGTCTCGACGACTCATGAGACGCGAATCTTCAGTCAATATCTGCGCAACAGACGTTGAAAGCTGCGTGGAAGATTCAGGCAGACAATCGTGTTGGCGTGATCGCACGGCGCATCTAGTAAAGCTCAGTACCCGTCAGCCACGTTTGTGTCGGTAACAATGTATTCCCTGCGCTTAGACGGGGCTCAGGCAAGGATGTCCGCATCGCATCTCAGCAGCCAATGTTTGACTAAAGAGACCTCCATCGTTGCAGGTCTTCGAGATACCCACAAAATTGCGAGGAAGGCTACTCAAAAACGATTCACCCAGTCCTACCAGCGCGTGGAGATAGCGAATTTGCTGAGTCGCGTAGTAACGCGACGCTAGGGCGTGGCTTGCAATTCACGTATTCTCATGAGTGCATAGATCATAATCGCGGATGGTTACTTTGTCGTTGATTGGTCGGCAGAATGAGTAACAAACTTCTCTCTCCGAGTCTCATCACCATGCGGGTGCCTCATCCTCATTCTCCTACTTGCCCACAGTGAGATGTGTACGCACTGTCGACAGCAGCGGTGAGTCATTCAGCTGGTCATATTCACATTCGCTTCCGGATGATGTACAGTCTAAGGATTCGACTGAGCGTTTATTGGAATGATATTGGCATCAGCCATATCTATGGAACCATCACATCGACCAAAGGATCATCCGAGTGTCGAGTGCGCTCGCAGGTCGTTGTCCAGCCTTTCCGTTTGTGTCCCGCAAGCATATGCAGATGTTGCATATCGAACGCCTCGCCTGCGACCTGGAAGCGACCTCAACATGTTCTTGCACATTCTCAATCGAGATGAGATTCGTATATTTTAGAGGGTCCGCTAGATTGGTTGCGTGTATCGCACGCGTGATTGCTCTGGCCTTACCGTGTGATGTTCATTCCTTAGCCTGTAGCTATCTAGCCCCCAAGACCCGCATGGGATTTGCATGTGCGAGCTCTTGGTATACAAAAGTATGGAGTCCGAGCCATAGTCCCTGGAACCACGTCGATTTTTTTTCTACAGGACTCGATTTATGGATGGGCTTACGAAGATCAATCAGCGTCCCCCAAAGTATGTTGACTGTCTAATTGTACGACGGTATACTGATACTCTGAAGCGACGGAGGCTGTGGACTCACTCACAAGCCACAGATATTCCGGGTCAAATACTTCTGGGGCCTCGAAAGGAAAGACAAAACCTTGCTTGTAGCGCCTTGTTCTGGTCGAGCCATCGATTCTTGCGCGAAAAATGGGGTCCACATAAAGCATGACATAATCTTGGTTGCTGGAGGCGCGTTCGTCAGGTTGACAGCGAGACTCGTTGCCGTCAGAGAGGATACTGAACAGCTCTTTGCACCGATATCTCACGTGTTCCATGTATCAGAAGTGAACATTTACAGACTCCCGGGCACCTCACAAATCAATCTGGATACTAGCCTGCCCACACCATGCGACAAGGATGGGATACGAGTCTTATTACCTGCGTCGGTCTTTGACCCAGACTTGCTGACCACCTGGCACAACCAGAAGATTCATAAACAAGTTTTACTTGACGGAACCATCGAAAAAAGGTTAATCCAAGGACCGCCACCCCTTGAGAGGTGGGTGTCTCCAGTCGATTCGCAGATTGCTGCTGACGCGATTTAGCGATATGCCTATCTATCAGTTCAAATGTTTCTGCAACGGGACCAGCCCTCTGACGATGAAGCACAACAGCAAAGAGCCCAAATACGTTCATCTCGAGTACCTTCTTGAGGGGTACAATATCACCATGGGATATCTTGTTGTGGCTGACAAAGGGAGAACGGCACTTATCAAGGGGAGACCGGAGAGCCTTGACGAGATTGTATCGACATTCACTGCTCAACCATGGTCAACTGCTGACCGAAGACCCCTCAACTACTTCACAATCATGATCGACTCCATCGAGTGGTTCGACGTCGAGACAAACTTCATCAGAGATGAGCGTTGGGCCTCGAACGGACTATGTCCAGAAATGGCAGTAAGGAGATCGCGATTTTGGGACTCGATGAAGAGTGAATGGAGATGATTTGGGACAAGTCTCGATCAATAGTTATGTGATGACGACCTCGCAGATGTGCAAGATTGACACTCTCTCGATTCTCAGAATCTATTCAAAGGTGCCGAATCAGCTCGTGTCCCAATATCCATGTCGTCACATTCTCAACCTGTTTCCTTGCCATCAAACTTGATACATGTATGCAGAGATGGAGCTTTGTACATCATCGAAACCTTCTCTACGGTCAATCGTCATGTCTCCGCTATCTTTCGTGGTACCAAGATGCATCGGCGTAATCAAGTGCCATGTCGATCAAGTAGAAGTCAAAATCGGAAGCACCCGTCCAAATAATTACTCTATTCGAGACATCACGATTCCCGTAAGCTATCCTGACAGGCATTGGAGCGAATGTTCTCCTCGTATTCCCCGACGTGCAGGTTGCGTAGATCTGCGTGCATCGTGAAGCCATAGCAGGCTCGCGTATACCATATTACGACCTGCAGACGAAAACTTATTGACCGTTGGTCGGCGCGCTAGCCAATCCTTCGGCATGTTCAGTAAGACTCTTAGGCCATAAGTGTCAAGGTGAGTCTTGCACGAATGGTGAGTAAGCGCTACATGGTCACTGTCGAAACTAGAACATTGCATTGCATATATGCAATGCGGTAGATCATACATTTCGTGCCGAACACCGCTGAAGCTCTGGGGCGTGTGATGAAGAATCAGGACTGAACACCTTGGCCAGCTCTCCATCATGGTGGCAATACTGGCAACGCTCACACCGACATCAGAATGCCGTGCACAGAAAGCGTGCCTCTCCCCTCTGGAGACTCACCTCCAGGTTCTGGCAGTTACGGTCTGAGCTACTGGATTAAAGGTCTCTTCCTCGCCATACCGAAGAGCAAGCCGGCCGCCAAGGTGATGATATGCTGCTGTGTACTGGAAGTCTTCCTGGGCTGCTGTTCACTGATCGAGTCCTTGATTATGCAATCCCTCGTCTCACGAGACAAAGTGTTCCTCATGGCCTTGGTCCGTCTCGTCTTCGAAGCCATTACTCCGATTGTTGGAGAGGCCATATCGGCCCTTCGGACGTTCACTGGCAGGGAGACACACAAAAACTTTATGAACACCTTGGGACAGAGCAAGAGATACTCGTCAGACAATGACCAGGGGAAAGGTCCATCGATGAATAAGATAGGCGCCGTCGACGTCTACTGTCAGGAGATCAGGTCACTCTTCCTCAATCTGACCACCCTCTGTATCACTCTGGTCTCCCTCATAGCCAGCGGCTGTTCTGAACGGAGCATTTGGGTCGCCACGCTACCTTTCTACTCGTTGTGCGACCTTACGGTGATTGCCGTGGATATACTGCGCCGCCATCCCGCGACTTATGAGCTGCTCGCGGCGAAGTCGTCACTCAGCGGTCGATCGTCAGTGACTATGCCAAAACAGTCGAGCGAGTTCATTGAGTACTGACTCTGCTTTCAGACCAAAAGACGCGCAATTGGGACAATGTTTCAATGCATATCACAGGCGAAACATCAATCTCCAGACCAGGAGACTCCAACTTTCATTTAAATGCACGGCGGTACTACTTTTGACTTCGGCACTGCCCTTGTACTCCGCTATGTCAGGAGCAGACCAAACACAGTTGACCATGATCGTCCTGAGCTACCATAACCTCTATCGACAGCATAGGAAACTCGAACGGAATCTTGAAGCCATCGCCAAATCGAGAGCTAGCATGCAAAAAGTTCTTGATGAGCTCGAAACGCAGGGTAGCAAAGACGAGATCTGACAAGGGAATCCATGTGACATGTATCGGACCCGTACACCCGGATGGGCAGGTCCGCGCACATTTGTAGCATGGAAGTGTGCGAAACTCGCTATGTCATGGAGGAGGTGAAGCCCGAGTAGCTCTGGCGCAGTGGAGTACATGGGGCCATGCAGGCCGGCATGATCTTGCAGGCCATCTCATATAGAACTGCAACAAACCCCGCCAATGTACCAGGAAATGTTTGCTTGCTCTTTCTATCCAATCGTATGGGTTGAAGGGGATGCGCGTCTTGGTGCTAGAGTCCCGAACGGCGGCTTTATCATGGAGCCCCATGCCGTAGCATGCGAAAGATCAAGGGTATCGAGGGTAGTACCGTTGAGAAAGTAATCAAAATCGATGTGGTGAAGCGAGTGGTCGACCTGTGCTTTGTTATTGATCCTGAGGCTTGGGCTAGTGCTGCAAGCGAGAAGGGGACTCGGCAGAGAATTGGCCGACTTGTATTACGAGGGCGCAGGAACCGATCTGCGCACGACACTCTTCTTCGGAATTATTGTGCCCTCACCGATGGGAGGCAAACTCCATCAAGAAGGTAAGATAATCGTTGTCATCGCAAGCTGTCCAATGTGCGAATAAACCAGCGAGAGTGCGCGTACGGCTTTTGCGCATGCCATAGCGTCCTCTCGGCGATAAAGTTCTCATCCGAAGCGGGGGCTAGGTATGATGAGCCAGATGTCGATGGCAGCGACGATAATGCGAGACCTAGAAGGAGCACAAGCGGTGAACGGGGGGTTGACTAGGAGCGACGAGAGCAGACGCGGAGACCAGACGTAGATCAGATGAGGCACTTCCGATGGGAAGACGGCGCGAGGGCGGGATGAGGAGCATAGAGCTGAGCTTCAATCAGTACAATGGTAGTCGGTTCAAGCGCAAAACCAAGGTTTCTGTCGTGAGCAATGCGAGGATCAATCAAAGGAGGTCTCAAGGGCGAAGATGAACTGGCCACCTGACGGACGAGTAGAGAGAGAGAGTGGTGCTTGATAGGACGCGTTTTGGCCGTCTGACCCTTGTGATGGTAGTGAACACAACATCGAGGGGAGTGAGCCTGGTCAACTGTCTGCGCCAACATCGAGCAGAGGCAACGGTGATGGATTGCCCGCATGAACAAGATTAGGAGGTGTTGGTAACCGTTGAGACGATCGTGCGCTGCCTGGAAGATGGACAATCCCTGTGGTCACAAGTGCGGCTCTGATTCTGTGGACGCGACGGGAGGAGTGACAAAGACGTGAGCAGGCACGTCGAAGATTCGAGATGGTAGGAGCGGTCCATGGCTGAGACGATATCTTCCAGATGCGTGCAATGGCGCGGTAGATGAGCAGAGACTGTTGTACAGTAAGGTGAGCGCCTGGAGTCCAGCGAAAAGGACCAAGGTGATTTATCTGTCGCCGAGCTGGGGCTCTTGGCGCAGAAAGGCACGCTGGTTGAAGACACACCGCTTCCTGTTCGACCTCGATCAGCTTCCATGCATTGATCTGTGATTAGTAGCATTGAGATAATGCTATCTCTCAATCAGTAGATTCTAATGCGATTATGAGACAGCTTGGGACCACAAGCGACCGGTTGTTATGGAGGCAAACGAGAGGACAAGTCCGCGTAATGCGAGTTGGCACCATCCGTGCGAAGGCTCAGCCTGACTGTATTGAATCACTATTTCTACTCGCATGGTGACCCGCACGTTGTCAGAAAGTGAATCAAGGTAAATGTTAACGGTGTAGTGTGAGCGTAACCTCCCAGATTCGGATTTTACGCTCCGTCGCATTACAGCTCGCAGCAGGTTCACTCCGCATTCGAAACGCAACTTACCGTCAGTTAGCCAGATGCCGTATCTGCAACCATATGACCGTAATCGTCAATGATACCATTCTTACACTGGACTTGTAAACTTAATGCTTCGAAAGCGCATGAACACTCCGGTAGGATACTACGACCTTGTATATACGAGTCACTCGTTGTACCTCGTAAGAAGCAGCATGGATATCCGTGACTATCTCTGTTGCGTCATTGAGGATTCTGAGCGTTCGAAAGCAGCAGTCGCGACTACTCAAGAATGTTAAAGTCCGCTCTGTACCATATGCTTGTCAGTAATCAGGATACCCAAGACAATCTCGCAATGTCGACTGACACAGATCCTTTAGAGCTTCTGGGAGTTGTAGAACGAGTCTACCCAAGCCTTTCAGTAGAGGCAAAAAGCGAGTTGAGACTAAGCATCGACTCACTGAGCAAAAGACTCGAGACTCCCTGGGAAACAACCAAGAGGATCGTCTGGCAGGAGGTCAGTAGAATCATACTGG